AGCTCTAACTGCTAGTATGTCTAATTTCTTTTTGCTACTTGATATTGACAAAGAATATCTGTTTTTAACCAAAAGTTCACAATTGTTTTCTAATGTTGTTTCATGTATCTGAGGTAAGGATGGTTAAGTTGGTTTAGGTTCAGTTTTGGTTTTAGAACTTCTAGGTTCTATTTTAAAAACCTCAGAACTTGGTTTTTAAAAATTTTCAAAACCCAGTTCAGAATTTGGTTTCAGAACCTAGTTTCAGAACCTGATTCTAGAATTAGGTTACAATTTTCTTCTAACCAGATTCTAAAACTAGGTTCTGAAGCCAGATTATAGAACTAGGTTACAATTTGCTTCTAGCCAAGTTCTAGAACCTGGTTTCAGAGCCTGGTTCTGTCACTATCAAAAATTTTCATGTTCTTAACCAGTGATGATTATTTGAAATCAGATATAATATAACATGATTAAGAAATGTTTTTTTATTAAAAATCACTTATTTTACTAATTATATATTATCTGTCTAATTATGTTTTGCAAATGATTTTAATGATGCAGAAGCTGATAATTATGGACTTTATATCATTTGTATTATAACATACAATATTTACTTTAATTATCCTGTTTATTCAATTATCTGTTATGTAAATAAAGAAATAGATACATGAATCACACTCTAATAAGTAAATATTTGTTTTATCATTACTATACATATTTAGATTTGAATAAAAAATTTGGCTGACAAAGCACTAACAATAATACATAATATTTTGGGAAATTCTATTTTTAAAAAAAAATAAAATTTGCCAAGTTTTATATAATATAAACTAAGTGTTTAATTGTACTATTTTTTAATGAAAAAATAAACTATTATTACAGCTTATCTTGGATCAGTTATAAAAATTAATAAAGATATTATATTTTATTTTTACTTAAACTTAAATACTAACTGATGTTTTTATAACAATTCTATTTTCAATCCAGCTTTTAGTATACAAAGATGCTCTTGAGGTTTCTAAATTGAGACAGTTTTGAGTATATAATATGGTATATGCAACTACTGAAAATGCTTGTTCACAAGCTACACTGGTTGCTTAGATTGATAAAAAATCTCTTGCTATACATACTAATATTGAAAACTCTTTTGTATGTATCTGTCATCATAATAATGGCATAACATTTTTATTACAAGGCAAGGCTAGGTATCATTCTAATTTATCTGTAGTTTTTTGATTAGTTTTAGAAATTGATTCATAATGTTATTTAATTCCACAAAAGTAATTACATGTCATAATAGTATTATCTTTTACTATAATAGAAGAAATATTTGTTAATTTATCAAATATAGAATATTTGTCAAATACTTTTTTAATTTAATCAATTGTTTTAGTAATTCGATATCCTAGCTCAAACAATGAAAGTTTGGTTTCTGGATCAAGAATTGTTACAACAGTTGTTGCATTATCAATTATAGTTTCATATTCTTTAATTTTTTCACTAATAGATGCTACTAATATATATTAGTTAAAATTATCATTATTTATATAATCCTGGAGATATTCTTGAATACTGCTAAATACAAATCAAACATCAGCAATCATTGAATAAAAGATGCAGATAATAATTTTATAGCTTTTTCTAGTAGCTCCATTAGAAGAAAAATTTTCTAGTTTATATTTTAAATTATTTTAAAAAGTAGTATCATAAATTCTTAAAATAATGGGCATAAGCATTATTTTAAAATTATATTCTCTAAAAATAGTATTGTTAGTTTAAAAATAATTTTCATGCATGTTTTAAGATACATAATAGTTCTATTCATATATTTTTAAACTTTTATAATAAAATATTTGCATATAATAACTGTGAAGAATCTTTACAAGTATTATATACAAATCATTTTTATTATATCAGTCAGTCAATCATGAGGATTGTCTAATTCAATAATTAATTATTTCTATTTTTTATCTTAATTTTGCTTCATGTTTTTGTCTTTGGCATTAAATTTTGAATATTATCATAGTTGATAATCAATATTCATAAAACACTTTGCATTTAGATCATTTTTTTTAACATATAATAGGTACTATTCCATCTTGTAACAATATCCAACTCTGGCTTTAAATAATCTATTTTTTGCACAAGATATAAGTTTCTTAATTTATTATATAAATATACTGAATTTTTGAGTTTTGACATTAATGATCAAATATTAACAATTTCTTGATCAATAATCTAGAGTTCATAATATGTGGCTAGATTTAGAACATGAGCAGTGCACCAATAATAATAAAAGGCCTAACTATCTAATTCTTTATTTAAGTTATTTGCTAAAGTTCTTCTACAAACCAACATTGCTAATGCATTATCAATAATAAGAGCCAATGTTTTATCTATAAGATTAAATTTTACAAGAACATTATTAATAGCAGTTGCAATATTTACTCCTGTATGATGTATATTAAAAGAAATAATATCTAATAAAAATTGATGAAAGTTTTATTGTTAGTTGATATAGTGAATTGTGATTTCAAGAAAGCTTCATAGTTTATATTTGATTTTTACATATTTGCTATTAAAAAAAATTCTTCTAAGATTTTAAATAATGTATTAAGTTACTTCTTTGTTTATTAAAATAACCAATAACTATATCTTTAACTTAATAATAGTTAGGAATTTTATAATATAAATCAAAGATATTTATTATTTTAATAAATTTTTCATTTTCAACAACATAAAATGGTTGCTGATCTAAAATTACCCAACTAATTAAAGCAACATTATGTTCTTTTTTTTGTTTTTCAGACTATAGGTTGTTACTAAAAAATGATAATTTTGATTATTGAGTTTTAATTCTTTTAATTTTTATATTATATTGAATATTTAAATGCTTTTCTAAACTAGAATTTTCAGTTTTACTTGAAAACTTAAAACTGCACTTAGAACAAATTGGTCAATTGGGTTCTTTAGATATAAAATTAAAGTAGTTCTATAAAGAGAATAGTTTGGTTGATAAAACTGTATCTGTTTCTGATACTACTTCTAAAATTGAAGATGATGTAATATTTATTTCTAATATTAAAGATGATAAAACCATATTGTCTTCTGATGAGAAAGGTGATAAACTAGTAACTATTTCTAATATTGGAGATAGTGGTTTATTGTATAGAATATAATCTTCTTTATAACTATAATTAAAATTTTCAGGATCCATATTTAATGATTAAATTAAAAGTTGTTTGTGATTTGACTTTCATAATATATATAGATATTTAGTTAATAAGATTCTATTTTACTTAATATGTATCTTTAGTTTATTTAAGTTTATTATACTAGCCTTACATTAATATGCACACTGTGATTTTAACAATAAAGCTAATTAAAAACTCAATTATAGTTAAAAAAATATATTTTAAAAGCAAACATCAATTAGTAAACAATACATGTAGATGTATGTACTGTTTAGTAAACTTGAATAGCTAAGATCATTGCATTACAAGATGCATTTATTTATTAAGAACAAAGTAATATAAAATATTACAAAATGTATTGTAATATGGTATCATAAATGTTCTTAAATAGATCATTTGGGAAAAGAGATATAAAAAGAAAATTGATATTTTCACATTCTTTTTTGATATTGCCACACTCTTGCTAATAAAAATCAATATAAATTATTAGAGTTTTGGTTAGTTTAGAGTTTGCAGGGGTGTAGCAATATCAAAAAAGAGTGTGGAAATATTAATTCTTTATAAAAAGTGCTTAATTTTAATAAAAATATATTTGAAATTGTTACAATTACTTCATAATTAAAAAATCATTACAGTTAAAGTTAGTTTAATCATTAAACTAATTATGATCTATGATATATTAACCAAGTTAAAATTGGAAATTAAAGATATTGAAATCTGTTTTTCTAGTATGTACAACTATTACTCAAAGTTGATAAGTTACAATTTATTAGATAATAAATGTAAAAGTGTAAATGCATATATACAAATTTGATATGCAGATTTAGACTTTCATATATTATATCTTTATAAGAATTGTGCAATATCGATATACTTGTTTTTTTCACTAGATTTATTTTATGCATTCGCCAAGAAATCAAAAAAAAACTTAGATTTCTTTATTTATAAGTGATGTACATATGTATAAACATGCAAGACCAATATATTAGTATAATGATATGCAAGCATTTTAAGTAATATAAAAATGCACAAATAATATATATGTATATACATATGTGCTAGAACAAGATGCAAGTATTAAACTATTAGAAATCTGTAAACTTAAATTCTAAAATTAAAACATGATTTTTTGTATTAAAACATATTAGGAATCTATAAATCTAGATTCTAAATTAGAATTTGATTTTTTATATTAAAATCTATCAAGAACTTATAGACCTAAGTTTTAAAATTAGAACTTAGTTTTTAAAAACCAAGTTTTAAGATTCTAAACCTAAGAACTTTATTATTTCTAGTTACGAAATATAGTAATCTAGTAAAGTAAATAGGTTATTAACTCCCAAGTGGCAGGTCTAAAGTTCAAATTCCAGTGATAGCGAAAATTTGCAATTCTTTCTGTGTTACAGTTAACTGTCTTCTATAATTAGTTAAAATAAAATACCTGTAACCTGTATCATACCAGCATAACAGGAAGGTCTAGGCTCTTGTACAACATTGTACAAACTAGTACTGGGTAGTATGAACTCAAAATAAGTTCTTAGGCTATATAAATCATAGGAACCAAATAAAAAAATGAAAACCTACTTAGAAGATCCAAGTAAGAAGAAAACCCAAACTTTTGACAGTACTACTATAAAGACTAGACTTATGAAATGAAGCTAAAACTTGTAAAACTAGGCAAATGTGCTAGTCTTTAAAGAAAAACTGAATAAACCAACCAGGCTATCAAAATTTCTGAATTTTGAAAGAAAAGAGTACATACTAGCAAACATGTAAATCAGAAGTATATGTTTTCAACTTACCTTTCTGAGCTTTTTGAAATAGCAGCTTGGTAGAACTTGAATTGAATACCAAAGTAGTAAGAATATGTTGTAAAGTTATTATCAGAATTAAAATAAACTCTACAAAGGCATAGTAGTTTAATAATATGCTTTGATTGCTAGTGTTGATCTCAGCTATAGTAATATAAAGTTAGCTCTAAGAATGGGATACAGAAGATTTTGGAAAGTTTAGTACAAGGTCAAAGATTCCAAAAAACTGCTTTAAAGACTTAGTGACTATAACATATTTTCATCAGTATTGGCTAGGATCATTGGTAAGCAGAGGTAAATGAATAAATATGAAAACTAAAGTAATTAAATAGGGAACCTACAAGCAAATTTTAGGTATAGCAGCTAGTGTAGACCTTTCAGACAGACTACTTAAATTAAACAATGACTAAAGTTGTATAAGTGGCTAGTTGTATACATTTTTCATGATTGTTCTCTGTGATTATAATGCAACCATTAGCCAAATATATTATTAAAAAAATTCTGGATTGCAAATACTCATTTTAATATTTTTTTAAAAAAAAAACTTGAGTTACAAATACTTATCTTAAATAAAATTTTAATTTAAATTAATACAATAATTTTATATTTTTATTTTAAAGACTATATATAACAAACATAATCAGAAAAATACTTAACAAATAAGAGATTTATTATTATTAGTATTTATATACAGTATAGAAAATATATGAAAAGCATTAAAGAAAAAGAAGCAGACAGGCAAAATACACAAATAGAATGCAAAGTTGCAGTAAAAGAAGAAAACCAGAAGATATAGCAGTATTTTCTGTTAAAAAATAAAGAAAATTTGAAAAAATTGGAATTTTTGAGGAACTACAGCTAACTTAAAAAAGAACAAACAACAATATGTGACCAATCATTTGAGTAAACAACAAGTAAACAAACACAATATGTACAAATTTGGAAATAAACAACACATACAACAAAATAAACAAAGAACCAGATAATAAAATTAGATATGCATAGTAGGCTAGAACAAGATCTAAAGCATATAGAAGATACACAAATACAGAGTTTACTCAGATATGTTAGCAATTATGGAGCA